TGTGACACAAAAGGTCCCATCTCAAAGCCGGGCACGGTGGCCCACGCCTGTCACCCCAGCGGCTCGGGAGGCTGAGGCAGGAGGATCGCAAGTGGGAGGCCAGCCTCAGCCAGTGAGCGAGGCCCTGAGCCACTCAGSGAGACCCTGTCTCTCAATAAAATAGAAAAAAGGGGCTGGGGACGGGGCTCAGGGGTCGAGTGGCTGAGGCTGGCCTCCACCTTGGGATCCTCCTGCCTCAGCCTCCCGAGCTGCTGGGATGACAGGCCACCGGGCCCTGCTCCCAGATGGACTTCTTTGCCTGACACCCGTACAAATGTGTTTTCAAAAAAGAAGAAACCAGACGGAGAGAGAAGGGACAGTGGAGTCCTCCGACTGGGACATAAGATGCGCARGTTCTTAGATCAGGTTCCACGTGTGCTGTGCAACTTTGGGCCAGGCACTTGACTCCTCTGGGCCTCACTGCCAACCTAAGGGAGTCTGGGGGGTTGATCTGCCCGGTGGACAGGAGGGAGCTGGACATGAGGACCTCTGGAGAAGGCTCAGGCAGGACAGTGACCCTGTGGGGTGCTCCGACGACGGGGCGACACACCCTGGTGAACGCTGTCCCCGCAGGTAGAGTCCCAGAAGGGGGCGGAGGACGAGCGCCTGAGGCTGGAGCTGCAGATGGTGGAGACGGAGCGCGTGCGGCTGTCGCTGCTGGAGGAGAAGCTGGCCGACGTCCTGCRGCTCCTGCAGAGGCTCCTGGACCTGGTGGGCCCACGGCAGAGGGGACAGGGTCCTGTCCGCAGCGGCATGTGGCCTCCACTCAGGCTGGAGGCTGTCACCCCATTTGGGGACAGTACTGTGCATGGAACCCAGGGTCACTCAACCCCTGAGCCCCGTCCTCAGCCCTTTTTCTATTTTATTTAGAGACAGGGTCTCGCTGAGTGGCTCAGGGCCTCACTAAGTGGCTGAGGCTGGCCTCCACCCTGCAATCCTCCTGCCTCAGCCTCCCCAGCCCCTGGGATGACAGGCGGGCACCACTGCACACATGATCTCTGAGGCAATGGCACCTGCACGAGGCTCCATCCCCCCACCAAGGGTCTGTGAGGAGCCCAGTGTGGCCAGCCCATGGGTGGGGACACTTTATCCGTCCCCAGGTTGCTGCAGAGAAACTCACCTGCTGAGGGACGACCCACCACCCGTGGTCTGATCCCCTCCTGTCTCCATTTCTTTTGAAGAACATCTCGAAAAGAGCCCTGGGGCAGATCCTGCTGAGCACCCTGGACGCCTGGAGGAACCCAGCACAGGGTAGGAGAGCGACTGGCCAGACGTCGAACAGCACTCCCTGTCCTCCGCGTCCTTTCGATCCTCCTGCCTCAGCCTCCCGAGCTGCTGGGGTGACAGGCGTGGGCCACAGCCCCCGGCTTTCCTGGGTGTTCTGTGTGCACAGTGGTGACATGATTCCTGTCCTCAACGCCCCTGCAGAGAGGGGGAGCTTGTGGCCCACGGTTCCTGGTCTCCCCCCTGGGTGCTGGGGACCATTCAGGACACTGGACAGACCTGAGCCCTGGCAGCGAACAGAGGCTCACACCGTGGTCCCTCATCCACCTGGGAGTCAGGAACCGGCTTTAGAAGGTTCAAAATACCGCGGGGACACAGTGGCCATCATCCCAGCAGCTCGGGAGGCTGAGGCAGGAGGATCACAAGGTGGAGGCCAGCCTCAGCCAAAGCAAGGCCCTGAGCCACTCAGCGAGACCCTGTCTCTCAATAAAATAGAAAAAGGGCTGGGGACGGGGCTCGGGGTCACGGGGACCAGCGTGTCCCCACTCCCCGTCTCTTCTCTCTGTCCAGAAGGCGCACCTGGGCCCTCGGCTGTGCTGGACGCCCTGCACCGGGCCCTCGCTGGCTGTGAGCTGCTGCAGAGGCCACCCCCAGGACAGGCCTCTGCAAACCCCGCTCTCGCCAACCCCCTTGTCCTCTCCTGCTGAGGTCACGGACACAGCCCGTGGGCACCGCTGGTCAGCCTGACCGCCATCCACCAGGCCTCCACAACCGGCCTCACCACATCCATCCAGCCTCCACGACTGGCCTCACCACGGTCACATCATCAGCACTCGGGAGGTCCTGAAGGCCACTCCTTCATTGGGCCTTCCCCCACCTCCTGTCACAGTCCCTGCCTCCCTGACACCACAGTCCACAGTGAAGCCCTGCTGAGCTGGGCCCGGTGACACCCACCTGTCCTCCCAGTGACTCGGGAGGCTGAGGCAGGAGGATTGAAAGGTGGAGGCCAGCCTCAGCAGCTTAGCAAGTCCCTGAGCCACTCAGCGAGACCCTGTCTCTCAATAAAATAGAAAAAGGGCTGGGGACGGGGCTCAGGGGTTGAGGGGCCCTGAGTTCAACCCCCAGGGCCTGGCTAAGTGGCTGAGGCTGGCCTCCACCTTGCGATCCTCCTGCCTCAGCCTCCCGAGCTGAGGGGGAGAAATATTAGAAATAAAATAATAATAATAAAAATAATAATAATATTAGAAATGGAGACTGTCTCCGACACATTAGTCAAGGAGCCTCGGTGGACATGTTGCCAGAAACTTCCGTGACTAAGAAGCCAAGAGGAAGGTATCTGCATGGTAAATGCCCCCCGGGGGCCACATAAAGAAAAGAAAATCATGAGAAAAGATCGACTAAGACCAAGGAAAATTTTTTAAAAACCTTGATTTTTACTAATTTTTTTCTTTGGTGAAACAGACAAGACTGTCCCAAAATATCAACAGCAATGACATTGGGGATGATCATAGTGAGGTCCTAAGTGGAGGCCGGGCACAGTGGCCCACGCCTGTCATCCCAGCAGCTCAGGAGGCTGAGGCAGGAGGATCCCAAGGTGGAGGCCAGCCTCAGCCACTTGACCCCTGAGGCCCGTCCCCAGCCCTTTTTCTATTTTATTTAGAGACAGAGTCTCGCTGAGTGGCTCAGGCCTCGCTTTGGCAGAGGCTGGCCTCTACCTTGAGATCCTCCTGCCTCAGCCTCCCTAGCCTCTGGGATCCGAGGCCTGGGCCACTGCGCCTGACTTTGGCCTCTTTCTAGAAGGGCTCCCGTGGGATTACTCAAATGGTCTGCAACTCATTAAAAAAAAATGTTTTCTGGGAAGTTCTAACGAATGTCCCTCTCTGTCACCTTCTGGCAAAAATATGCAGTTGACCTTCCACGGCTCCCGGGGAACACCGAAAAGTACCCTGTAGTTCCACACTCTGGCCACCAGGGGGAGAGCGCGTTCCCCGGATGGAAGAAGGGACAGGGGACTTCCAGTGACCTGCCAGCCCGGGGTCAGGCGCAGGGGGGTCAGGGAGCTGAGTGTAACGCATTGCAGCGTCCCCAGGCCCCCGGAAGTCGCCTGTGATCTCAGGTCCCTACCTAATATTTTTTAGTTCCCTTTTAAAATGATGGAGGATTTTTCTGGGGTTTTTTTTTTTGTTTGGGGGGGTTCCAGGGATGGAACCCAGGGTCACTGAATCCCTGACCCCCGTCCCCAGCCCTTTTTCTATTTTATTTAGAGACAGGGTCTCGCTGAGTGGCTCAGGCCTCGCTTTGGCAGAGGCTGGCCTCCATCTTGCGATCCTCCTGCCTCAGCCTCCCGAGCCTGTGGGAGGACGGGCCTTAGTCTAAATCATCTGGAGGTTTTTTTCAGAAGCGAAGTCAACTTGCTGTCACTGAACCAGAGACCCAGGGTCCCTGCCATACAAGGAAAGAGACCTGACAGTTAGTCAACAGATAGGACCAGGACACTCTTCATTTCTGAGCAGAGCCCATTGGTTCCTGAGCGCCCCCGGGGGGACAAGCAGGGGTGAGAGGTCAAAGCACCCATGCTGAGGTGCAAGGGGACACGCCGGCCTCTCGCCTCACAAGCAGGACCATGTTTGATCCTTTTCATCACAGGAGACAAAAGCTCTACGATGGCTTAGGAGGCTGAGGCAGGAGGATCGCAAATCGGAGGCCAGCCTCGTTTTATCAATGCAAAGAGCCGTGACCTCCTCAATGACCTCCTCAATGACCTCCTCAGTGACATCCTCAATGACATCCTCAAAATCCTCTGGGCCAGGGGGAGCCTCCTGGGGCCGAGCACCTGGAAGAGGAGCCGGCCAGGGACAGGGACGGACGGGGGGTGTGGCTCCATTTCACGGATGAGGGAGACTGAGTCACGGGAACGACCCGGAGTCTCTCATCCCAGGGGCCTCCCCTCCTCCTGGGCCCAGTGAGGGGCCGTCTCTCTCTCGGGCAGGCCCAGCCCCTGAGGTCCTGGCGGTCAGTCCCCTGGGGTCCCCTTCTGTCCCCGGGCACGGGCCTGAGGTCCTGGGCCCCCTCTGGTGGTGAGAGATAACGGGGCTATTTCCATCCTTCCCTTCCTGTCACTCAAACAGCAGCCGCTGTCCCCTCCTCCCCGGGCTTTGTCACCACAGCCTCCGCCAGGACAGCACAGGCCACAGAGGGGGCCCCGACCCAAGCCCACAGGTGAGTGTTCCTGTGTCACCGTGCCTGTCCTCGCTGGGCCGGGAGGGAGACAGAAGGCCGTCCCTGTCCCTCCTCCCAGGCTGCTGGGGACCTGGGCCTAGGAGGGACGAGTGGCGCTTCAGAAAAGGGAACGGAGCCGGGTGGTGGGGTGGGGGGTGCACGCCTGCCATCTCGGCAGCTGGGGAGGCTGAGGCAGGAGGATCGCCAGGTGGAGGCCGGCCTCAGCCCTAAGCAGCTCAGCGAGACCCTGTCCCTCAATAAAATAGAAAAAGGGCTGGGGACGGGGCTCAGGGGTTCAGTGACCCTGGGTTCCATCCCTGGTCCTCCACGGGGACACTCACAGCCACAGCAGGACATGGTCCCCAAGGAAGGCCCCGAGCTGGCTGCCCTCTGTCACCCAATTCACAGAGGGGAACGTCGAGGCCCAGTGGGGAGGACCCTGGGGACCCTGGCCCTGGGTGTGGGTGACCAGGCCGTCCTGAGCGGGTCCCCTGTGCCCACAGAGCCCGCCCGCCCTGATGGCTGCCTGGGGCGTCCTTGTCCTGTGCTGGGCCCTGGCCGAGGCCACCCCCGACTGCCCTGTCCCCTGCGCCTGCCGCAGCCTGCCCTCCATGGGGCTGGCCGTGGACTGCAGGTCCCGGGGCCTGGGGACCCTGCCCGCCCTGCCCGCCCGCACCCGCCGCCTGCTGCTGTCCAACAACAGCCTGAGGACAGTGTCCCCAGGGGCCCTGGACCACCTGCCCCAGCTGCAGGCCCTGGAGGTGGCCGGCAACCCCTGGCACTGCGACTGCCACCTCACCTACCTGCGCCTCTGGCTGGAGGACCGCCTGCCCCAGGCCCTGGAGGAGCTGCGCTGCGCCAGCCCCGACCCGGCCACCGGCCGTCCCCTGGGCCACCTGACCGGCTTCCAACTGGGCAACTGCGGTTGGGACATCCAGGACACCGGGGTCTACCTCGGGGTCTGGTGGGACGTGGCCCTGGGGGCCGTGGCCATCCTGGGCCTGGTGCTCCTGGCCCGGCTGCTGTGCGTCTCCACGGAGCCCTGGCCCTAAAGTCCCCTGCAGACTGGAGGCCAGGAGGCCAGGAGGCTGGGAGGCCTCATCACCCCACAATAAACTCGCTGCTGGGCACATTTCTGTCGAGTCCAGAGAGTGGCTTTGCCTTCTGGTCACCTGAGTCTGGATTTTTCTAGAAACTCAGGCTCAGATACTGGGCGCCGTGGGTCCACGTCGGCCATTCCAGCAGCTTGGGAGGCCGAGGCAGGAGGATCGTAAGGTGGAGGCCAGCCTCGACCACTTAGTGAGACCCTATCTCAAAAAATTAAAAAATAAAAAATAAAAAGGGGCTGGGGACAGGACTCCGTGGTGAAGGGCTCCTGGGTTCCATTCCAAAAAAAAAAAAAAAAAAAATAGCATTGTGACCAAAATTGTCATAAGTAACATTTTTTCAAGGCCAAGACCTTAAAACTCAACTCGGCAGGTTAACACAGGGGCCCAAAGGACAGGCGCTCTCTCTCCCAAGTGACACTTTTCCTGTGAGCACCTTGGAGTGTCAGGACGGACCCCCGTGTGCAGATCTTCTGGGAAACACAAGGGGGTCCGTATTTAGGTCCCCCAGAGAAGCCACCCACAGGACAGCTGAGAGGGACTCATGCATCCCATCTCATGTCATTGTGGCACCAGGGACTGAACCCAGGGGCACTTGACCCCTGAGCCCCGTCCCCAGCCCTTTTGCTATTTTATTGAGAGACAGGGTCTCCCTGAGTGGCTTAGGGTTGAGGCCGGCCTCCACCTTGCGATCCTCCTGCCTCAGCCTCCCAAGCCCCGGGATGACAGCATGGGCCACCACACCTGGTTGGACCTGGGACTCCACGGAGGCTGGTCTGACCCTCATCTCATCCGTCTGTCCCCATTTCCCTTGGGAGGCCACAAAAGCAGGAAAGCCTCCATCTCAGCAGTGACCAGAGACAGATCTAGGTCACGGCAGGTGGACTGTGGGCGCCCAGGCTTCTCATCCGGGTACCCGACTGAGGCACAAAAGTCATCCCGAGGACCCCCTGTGTGCCTGCCACCACTCTGTGACAGGAACAAGGAACCTCCAAGACCACTGGTTTCTGTGTAAGAAGCAGAGCCACCAAAGAGCCCTCCTGACGCCGTTCCCACTGGGGAACCTGCAGCCCAGAGAGGGGCAGTGAGTTCCCCAAGGCCACACAGCATTCCCTGAGCTGAGACAGGACCCAACCCCAGGCCTCTTTTGTCCTGTAGTCTCTGACTCCCTGTCACCAAAGGGGATCCAGGAGAGGCCTTGGGGGCGGGGGAGGGCTGGCTGGGGCTCACAGAGGACGGACACAGATGGCGGGTTTCAGAATCGGTTTAATGGATCAGGATTCGCATTCTGGCTCTGAGCGTCCCAAAGAGGCCACTTCTCCAAGTTTTCAAAAATAGATCTGATATAAAGACTTTTTAATATTCATAAATAGGAAACGTGAAAAAACCCCCAAATGCAAATGGCACCCACCCCCGGGCTGGCTGGGCCCCTGCCACCCGCCCTGTCGCGGCCTGAGGGTGGGCGGGTCCCGCTGGAGAGAAACTGAATTCAATATGAATCGGGAGCTTTCTCCTTGCCCCACCCAGGGGCCGGGTCCTGGGGACCCTGTCCCCTCCTGGAAGGAAAAGGAAAACCTCTGGCATCGCTGGGAGGGTCCCTGGCTCCACTCCTGCTTTGGAGTGGAAAATCCCAGGGGTCCACCCAGACCCGCGGACTCTTCCTCTGCCCGGGGGCCCCTCTGGCTCCGCCCCCTTCCTGCTGCCTGGCTCCTGCGGTTGGGTAATTTCTAAACAAAGGAAGAGATTAAAGTGCCCCGAGGCCCCGGCCCCCGGGAGGCCGCCAGGCTGCCCGCGGAAGGACACAGCAGGTTTTGTGTCACACAGTCCCCACCCTCCTGTACCCAAGCCCAGGTCTCCATTGGACAGAGGCCCAACCTTCAGGGACAGGGAGGCCCCTCCTGGTGGGACCCTGCAGCATGGGGCCTTTGCTGTGGGAAATGGCTCTGGCCAGAGGGTCCTGGGGCAGGGCCCTGGTGACATGTGACCTGCTGGGTCATTAGTAGCAATTTTTTTTATTTTTTTGGCACCAGGGACTAAACCCAGGGACCCTGGCCCACGGAGCCCCCCGTCCCCAGCCCTGTTTTGTACTTTATTTAGAGATAGGGCCTCGCTGAGTTGCTCAGGGCCTAAGTGGCTGAGGCTGGCCTCCACCTTGGGAGCCTCCTGCCTCAGCCTCCTTAACCCCTGGGCTGACAGGCGGGTCACCACACCTTGGCTACATACTATCCCTGGCACACACCGGGTCCCAGATGCATCTGGAGACCTCTGAGGCCAGAAAGGCACCCTCAGGGATGGGTACTACCTGCCCTGGCCCAGCCCCTCCCCCCTTCTAGAACCACAGGCCACCCCTGCCTAGAAGTCTGGAGCCGGGAACCGGGCCACCAGGCCCCAGGACACCTGCACCTGGCCCCCCTGACCTGGGAATGGGGCCAATGCAGACCAAAGGCCAGGGCGACGGGTGCCCCACCTCCTGCTTTGGAGTAGAAAATCCCAGTGGTCCACCCAGACCTGAGGACTCTTCTTCTAATGGGGGCCCCTCTGGCTCCGCCCACTGCCTGCTGTCCCTACACTGGGGCAGAGCTGGCCCAGCCTGGGAGGAACCGCAGGGAAGTGGCCTCAGCTGAAGAGACAGAGGATTTATGTGGTGGAGGAAGGGGTGTCGGTGCAGAAGGAGCTGACACTGGGTCCCAGGCCCCCTCAGTCAGTCACTGGGACCCCTCAGGGCCCCGGATGCTATTTTCCAAGAGGCCCCAACTTTGACCTCAGCACCCAGCACAGGGGGAGGGGAATTTTTTTTTTTTTTTTTTTTGGTCCCAGGGATGGAACCCAGGGGTGCCTCACCACGGAGCCCTGTCCCCAGCCCTTTTTAGGTTTTATTTAGAGTCAGGGTCATCCTGAGTTGCTGAGGCTGGCCTCCAATTTGCAATCCTCCAGCCTCAGCCTCCCAAGCTGCTGGGATGACAGGCTCGTGCCTCCAGGTCCCCCCGAACCGTCTTGAGGAGTCCTCCGTCTGTCCTGGCACTGAGGAGGGACCCAGGGCCTCCCGAGCTGCCCTAGCCTCCGAGGCCTGTCCCTGCCTCGTCCCCTACTGGCCAGACTTCTGAGCCAGCACTGACGGATCAGCTACGGTGCAACCTGAGTGGCCAGTCCCTGGGCCCCAAGCCAACGCAGTGTCCAGCTGGCCACAGGCCACGACCCCACTCTTGGGCCACTTGACAAGCTCCATGGAAAACCAGGAAAACCCGAGGTCCTGATAAGGTGACGAGCCAGGCCCAGAGTGTGGGGCCTGAGGCTGGCAGTGAGGAGGAAGGGCAGCCCGAGGGACGAGTCCAGTTGGCTGCCCAGGTCATCTTGCTCTCTGGGCTCCAGAGGGATCTGGAAGGTTCTGGAATGATCTGGAAGGGTCCAGAATGATCTAGAAGGTTCCGGAATGATCCGGAAGGTTCCGGAATGATCTAGAAGGTTCCAGAATGATCTGGAAGAAGCTAGGGTGCCAGCCACCTGCTGGGCAGAAGGTGGTCACAGGGTGGACCTCAGCCCCTCTCCCACTGTGGTGGCCCTGTGGGGCTCAGGCCAGTCTTGGCATGTGAAGGACGGGCTCCCACCTGCCGGATCACAGGGTGGCGGGTCACAGGGTGGCCCCCGCGGCTCCCCCAGCTCTGGAAGGTGCCAGGGGGGCGGAGGGGGACAGAGGCCGGTCAGCAGCCACAGCCCCAGCCCTCGGCCACGTCCTTGCTGTCCAGCTGGATGTGGTCGCCGCTCTTCTCGCTGAACAAGGGGCCGCCGTGCCGCATGATGAGCTCCGTGGCCACCCTGAGGAAGGCCTCCTCCACGTTGCGCGAGTCCTTGGCCGAGGTCTCGATGGCGCACAGGATGTCGTAGTGCCGGGCCAGGCTCTGGGCCTCGGCCAGCGGCACCTCCCGGAGCTCGGCCAGGTCCGCCTTGTTCCCTGGGGGGGGGACGCGGGGCGGTGAGTGGGCCCGAGGCCACCTGGTCCCCAGGAATGGGCATCCCTGAGGGCCACCCTGCCCTGGCCCTGTCCCCTCCCCTCTTCCCAATCTGCTACGGGCTGGGCAGGCCTGTCCCTGTCACCCACCTCCCCTGGGACAAGAGCCATGGGGTCTGGGACCACAGATGCAGCCTCTGAATCCAGGAAACCCCGGTAAATCCTTCCCCCTGAGCTGTCCTGCAGAGTCAGTCAGTCAGTCAGTCAACAATCTTTATTAAAACGGCCTTTTAAATTCTAACCTTTCTTTTGGTGGCACTGGGCCACCAAGCTAGGACATGGCCCTTTCCAAGTATCTACTCATGTATCTATTTCTATTGCGAGGTGGGGTCTTGCTAAGTCGCTTAGGGCCTCGTTAACCCTCAAAGGCTGTTAACCTTGTTTGAAAGACAGGGCCTCACCAGGTGGCCTCAAGTGATCCTCCTGCCTTGGCCTCCTGAGGGAACAGAGGCCACTGTACCTGGCCACCTGATTTAAGTTGATCGATGGGTGATGGAAGGTGCAGGGGATGGAATTCAGGGAAATTCCGCAGCTGAGCTCACCCCGGGCCCTCCTTCAGTCGTTTTAGGACAGGGTCTTGGTAAAATGTAGAGGCTGGCCTCCCAACTTGCAATCCTCTCGCCTCAGCCTCCTGAGTCACTGGGACTACAGGCGTGGACACTGGGCCTGGCGGGTCCTATGACTTGAACATGGTCTGTTCTCACACCAACTCAGGATGCGGTTTATGACCCGGGAGGTTCTCACAGGGTAGAAACAATCCAATTGCCGTGTTCACAGGGGGTGGCCACAGCGAGGAGATAAGGCCATCAGGGAAGAGTCCCAAGATGGAATCCTGATTTATAAAACCAGAGAGATAAGGCACGTCGCCTGCCGCCTGTCTCCTGCCGCGTGACTGTGACCAGGCTCTACCAGCAACAAGGCCATCTGCAGAAACAGCCCGTTGGCCTTGGACCTCTACAACTAGGAGCCAAAGTAAACCTCCTCTCCCTCTCCCTCTCCCCACCCCTCTCTCTTTCTCTCTCTCTGGTCCCAGGGGCACTTAACCCCTGAGCCCCGTCCCCAGCCCTTTTCATATTTTATTTAGAGACAGGGTCTCACTGAGTTGCTTAGGGCCTAAGTTGTTGAGGCTGGCCTCCACCTTGCGATCCTCCTGCCTCAGCCTCCCGAGCTGCTGGGATTCAGTCCCCAAGCCACTGAGCCAGACCCTGTCTCAAAATTAAAAACACAAGGAAGGAGGGGTGCTTCGGAGGTAAAGGCGCCCGGGTTCAATCCGGGAACTAGAAAAGGGGGCGGGGCAAAGGCAGTCTGTGGTCCCCAGGCCCCGCCCCCAGCTCACCGATCAGCAGCTGCACGATGTTGGCGCCTGCGTACTTGCGCACATCCTCGATCCAGTGAGGGACCGACAGGAAGGAGCTCCGCTTGGTGATGTCGTAGGCCAGGATGGCGCCGTTGGCGCTGCGGTAGTAGCTCTGGGTGATGGTGCGGAAGCGCTCCTGGCCGGCCGTGTCCCAGATCTGCAGCTGTGGGCACCAGGGTGCGGTGAATTCGGGGGTCACTGAGGACAGGGAGAGGGACCCGCAGAACCAGCCCCCAGCAGATCCGCGGGGACAAGCCACCTGAGACCCAGAGAGCAGCGCTTGCTGTCATCCCAGAGGATCGGGAGGCTGAGGCAGGAGGACTGCAAGTTGGAGGCCAGCCTCAGCAACTTAGTGAGACCCTGTCTCTAAATAGAACATCAAAAGGGCTGGGGACGGGGCTCAGGAGTTCAATCTCCAGGATCAATAAATAAACAAATAAGGAAACATATCAGATTAAAAAAAGACAAGACCCAAATAAATAATAATAATAAGACCCAAATATATGCCATCCACCAAGATATGCTGTAAGGATACAAACAGGAAGAAAGGACATGAATTATACATACATATAAAATATTCATGAGAAAGTATGCAAATGATAGAGTGTAATTTCAGGTCAAGGAGCCATTCCAAATAAAGAGCTACAAGAAATAAATGACATTTAATATTGGGGAGGCTGAGTCAGGAGGATCTCTTCAGCTCAGGAGTTAAGAGACCGGCTTGGGCAGCACAGCAAGACCAATCTCACAACCAAACTAAAGATAATGACAAAGGGGCATCTGTCAGAGACACAATGGTACCAAGCTGTGCGCATCTTATACAGTCTAATGACAGTTTTAAATTTCTCAAAGTTAAAAAAAAAAGGTATGCAAATAAAGGGAAAAATAAGTCCAAAAATGTAGTTGAAGATTTTAACACCCCTTTCCGAAAAACTGACAGGTGCCCTTCAAGAGATGAATGGATAAAGAAACTGGGGTCCATATACACAGTGGAATATTATGCAGCCATCAAAACCTGCACAAGGGCACGTCTTTTTTCAAGTAGACGTGACATGTGCACCAAGACCAACTCCCCGACGGGGTCATCCGGTAAGATGTCCACTCTTAACAGAAGATGATCCTGACTGCAAGACAATTAAAACAGCCATGTGTGCGGTGACGCACGCCCATGAGCCCAGTGACTTGGGAGGCTGAGGCAGGAGGATTGCAAGTTGGAGGCCAGCCTCCACAACAACAATACAAGTCCACTGGAGAGTGATAAGAAAAACCAAGCAGAGACAGGAGAGGTGCATTCTGGGAGGAGTGAACCTCAGGATGGCACCCCCTGACATACCCACTGGAAAGAGAGGGAGCCCAGAGAACATTCTGGAAGGGAGGAAGTCCCAAGGCCCTGTGGTCATTTGGAGCATGTGGAGGGTTCATGAGGTGCGTCGGGTCCTTAGTGGGGTGGGGTCGAGGTGATGGAGCCCTTGGAGGGGAGTGACAGGGGTGTCCCCTAGACGGGAACCCAGGTAGCTCCTGTTATCAGCTCGGGCCTCCTGTCTCATTGTGTGATCTCTCCCCTTCACAAGTCTTCCCCCCACCCCACCTTCCCGTGATGCCATCTGGCATGACATGAGGTGGCCAAGGGGGCGTCAAGCTGAGCAGATGCTGCTGTCACGCTGCTTCACAATACTGAAGACTTTGAGTCACATGAACCTTTTTGCTCTATAAGGTACCTGGCCTCGGGCATTGTGTTATAGCAACGGAAAATGGGCTAATATGTCCCCCGAGGCAGAGACCGTGACTGGTACATTCAAAGAAAGCAAAAAGAATTGTTTGGAGCAGAATAAAGAGAAGGACAGCAACAGAGTGACACAGAAATACGCAGAAAAATGGACCTTGGAGACCCTCAAGGAAGGACTTTGGCCTATATATTCTGAGCTACTGGGGGGTTTCCTCTCTTTTTATTTTTCGGTATCCAGAACTGAACGCAGAGACACTTAACCCCTGAGCCCCGTCCCCAGCCCTTTTTATTTTTTATTGAGAGACAGGGTCTCGCTGAGTTGCTGAGGGCCTCGATAAGTTACTGAGGCTGGCCTCCACTTTGCGATCCTCCTGCCTCAGCCTCCAGAGCCGCTAAGATTCCAGGCTGTGGGCCACGGCCCCTGGCTTCAATTGAATATTTCAAAGCAACTCCCAGAGAGGACTTTGGATGTTTCCAACACAAAGAAATGACACATGTGTGACATGGTCCCTATGCCCATGACCTGGATCTCATCATTACACAATATACAAACATGAACAGAAAATCAACAAGCACAGTTTTAAAAAATACATATACATAGAAGTTAATTTAAAAAGAAAACTAAAAATAAGGTAAAATAAAAATGCAAAACAAACAAACAATAACTACAGACCAGGGAATCTAGGTCACCCTGTGGCTATGACGTGGGCAGGGACAGAGGAGATATTTGGAGAAACCAGGACCTGGGGTGTCTCACCCTCACCACCCCCTGCAAATGAGAGCAAAATGGGCCCGACATCGTGACCCCATTCTGTCACAAGCTTTGTGTGTCTGGGCCACAACCTAATTCAGTTTTTTCATCTGTCAATAAAGGGACCATTAAGGTCACAGCTAATACAATCAACTGGCTGGAGCTCGCATACAAAAGGGGCCTGATAAATGCATCCATTCTACAATCTTTAAGGACCCACTGTAATTTTGAGGCCAGTGTTTTTAATGTATAATGTCAAAAAAAAAAATCGATTTGAGGTGCCCGGGCCCGGTGGCGCACACACGTGGAATCCCTGCAACTCTGGAGGCTGAGGCAGGAGGATCGCAAGGTGGAGGCCAGCCTCAGCCACTTAGTGAGGCCCTGAGCCACTCAGGGAGACCCTGTCTCTCAATAAAATAGAAAAAGGGCTGGGGACGGGGTTCAGGGCCCCAAGTTCAATACCCAGGACCCCCCCAAAAAAGCCCAGAGCCCCCCTCTGTCCCACCAGAAGGAAACAGAGAGGAATTTATCTGAGTCTGTCTCCTGAGTTCTGAGGCAGGGAGTGGAAAGTTCTCTGCGTCTTTAAATCCGAAAAGGGACCTTGGACAAGTGAGTTCTCAAGACAAACACTGAAACGGTCACAATGACCCAAATTCAAGTTCCTGAGCTATTTTTCATGGCGTCTTGGGATGCTGGGCCCCTCCTCTGGGCAGCTCCGCGTCTGTTCTCCCGAGCTCAGGCGCAGGTCAGCACCAGCCACAGGGTAAGGGACAAGACAATGATAAGACACCAGGTCTCTAGGGTCTTGCTGATGACACCAGCACATGGGCAGCCAGTCACGATGTGGCAAAGGACCTCAGTACGTGGCCCACAGATCCTGCCTCAGTTGCTCACAAAGGCTGCCGGCTTCCAGCACTCTCGTCTTCCTTCACAGGAAGATAACACTGGCCACCTACTGAGGAGCTTCCACCAGGGCCTCTTCCTGTTGCCAACCGAACACCACGCAGACAGGCCTCTGGACACCAGGGGGAAACTCTTGGGGATCAGGAGCCCTCCAAGGGAACTCAGCCCAGTTCCTGTCCACTGGGACAGGAGGGTACCAAGGGAACAATAAGGGGTGGCAAGCTCCTCCCAGTTTTTTTTTTTTCTTGGTCCTGGGGATTGAACCCAGGGGAGCTAAACACTGAGCCCCGTCCCCAACCCTATTTTGCATTTTATTGAGAGACAGGGCCTCGCTAAGTGGCTGAGGCTGGCCTCCACCTTGCGATCCTCCTGCCTCAGCCTCCTGAGCTGCAGTGACTACAGCTTCCTCTCCCCCCAAAGCCCTGGCCTCCTCTGCGCAGCAACTCACCCACCCTCAGGGCCGCACCAAGCCCACACATTCCTGTGGCTCTGGGCAACGCTGACTGCCGGGTCCCCTAGCACATGTCCACCACAATCCTGGCAACTCAGGGCCTGGCCACATTGTCAACACTGGGTCCTGCTGTCACCACAGTAAACCTAAGTGAACTTGTCAGGCACGTGGTCTGATGCTTGGCTTAGAAATCCCAGTCACCATGGCAACGGCACTAACAGTATCACATGGTCGGTGCCTGTTTACACATCTGTCTCCCCATCCAGAGGTGAGCCCCAAAGAACAGGGTCTGCCTCGGATTTACCCTTTTTTTTTGGTCCCAGGGATTGAATCCAGGGCTGCTTAACCCCTGAGCCACCCCCCAGACCTTGTCATATTTTATTTAGAGACAGGGTCTCGCTGAGTTGCTGAGGCTGGCCTCCAAATTGCCATCCTCCTGCCTCAGCCTCCCCAGCCACTGGGACTCCAGGGCAGCACCCCTGGTTCCTGAGTTCTCTTCCCTTTTAATTCCATCTCAACTTGCTTGAGGCTCTGGAGAGGAGAAAAAAGATCAGTTCAAGGACCTTCCCTACCCCGCACCTCACTGGGATGGAATCTAGGGTCTCCCTCGCCCCAAGGCTACAGATCTTTATACTCAAAAAAAACAAATTCAAAAAAGCAAAGAGGAATCTTTGAAAATAAAAAGAAATGAAACTGAGCGTGGTGCTGCACCCCTGTCATCCCAGCGACTTGGGAGGCTGAGGCAGGAGGATCGCAAGGTGGAGGCCAGCCTCAGCCACTTAGGGAGGCCCTGAGCCACTCAGCGAGACCCTGTCTCTAAATAAAATAGAAAAAGGGCTGGGGACGGGGCTCAGGGGTTAAGCAGCCCTGGGTTCAATCCCTGGGACCAAAAAAATTATAAATAAATAAAATAAAAATTAGAAAAATAAAATAAAATCAATAAATATCTACACACATACATTTATATCATGATTCAGAAAAGTGCTCATCACTAGGGGCAGGGCAAAGTGGGGGGAAGAGAAGTAAGAACATAAAAATTAACTTGGACCCTGAAAAAATTATGCTCCAAGAACAGCCACAGAGTCCCCACCCTGTTGTGAAGTCCTGAGCTGAGCCAATCTATAGCGACAGAAAATAGATCAGTGGTTGCCAGGGGGCCAGAGGAGCGGCATCTGGGAGTGACAGGCAAGTTCTTTAGGGATGATGGAAATATCCTAAAATGGGCTGTGGTGACGTTTGGACAATTCTGTGACCATAGTAACAAACAAGGACAAATCACGGAACTGTACCCTGGGTGGAGCGATTTACGGTCTGTGGATCATAGCAATAAAATTTTCTTAAAATTAATATTAATTATTATTTTTTTTTGGTCCCAGGGATTGAACCCAGGGGTGCCTAACCCCTGAGCCCCGTCCCCAGCCCTTTTTATATTTTATTTAGAGACAGGGTCTCACTGAGTGGCTCAGGGCCTCGCTAAGTGGTCGAGGCTGGCCTCCACCTTGCAATCCTCCTGCCTCAGCCTCCAGAGCTGAGATTTGGGATGACAGGCCTGTGTGTGTGCCCCCACATGCCCCACACCCAGCTAACTGCCCTTTCTTCTGAAAGCCAGAAAATCCAAAATGACAGGTGGGGACGAGGGCCACTTGAGACTGAAAACCAAAGGTCCTGAAATCCAAGGCCCAGGCCCAAGGGCACAGACTCTACCTTGGCGGGAGAAGAGATATGGCCGGTCCCCAGTGGAGAATTGTATCAAGGGGAGACACTTCAACAAGGCCAGCCTCAGCTCGGCTCAGGAGGCCGAGTCTAGTGATCTGCAAAACCCAGTTTACATAACAGGCCTCTGTGTCGCCCCAGATATCAGGGACTCAAGAGCCAACAGGACCTTGTAAGGATTTAGAACCAGCTGAGACTTCCTGGGGGCGGGGGTGCAGGTGGGAAGGGAAGGGCAAACCCAGACCTGTCCTCTGTGTCACCAGGGAGGACAGGGTAGCAACAGCAAGCGGAAAACAAGCCCTTATATTGGTGTGCATGATGCACTTTGGGATTTTATTTCCAATAGCATTTTTGGAATGAACTAGAAATTCTTTTTAGAGGACACTGTTTAGAAGACAAAGGTACAAGGGACATCTTTCCTGTTTATCATTTTATTTGAACCATAGAGACACATCCCCAGCCCCTTTGTATTTATTTTGAGACAGGTTCTCGCGAAATTGCCGAGGCTGACCTCAACCTTGCGATCCTCCAGCCTCAGCCTCCCAGGTGACTGGGATACCAGGCACTCAGCCCCACACCTAGCTTTTCTGTATACCTTTTAAGTCTTGGAAATTTTGGAATTTGAACCATGCAAGTGGATTTTATCTTCAAAAACAAGTCAAGGAGAAACTCTTTAACCCAGGGCCTCACAACCAAGTGACCTGTGCTGAGACTAATGCGCGTTCTTTTTTTGGGGGGGGACTGGGGATTGAACCCAGGGGGGGCACTTGATCTCTAAGCCCCATCCCCAGCCCTATTATGTATTTTGTTTAAAGACAGGGTCTCACCAAATTATTTAGGGTCTCCCAAAGTTGCTGAGGCTGGCCTCCAACTTGCGATCCTCCTGCCTCAGCCTCCAGAACTACCGTAACTTCAGGCGGGCACCTAGTTCTCTGACTTACTTTTTAAGTCCTGGGAGCAAGAGCCAAAGGCATCCATGAGGGTACAAGAAATGACACAGAATCTAGCGGGCAGCCCATGTGAGCTGCCTGTGGGCAATCTAAATGTTCTAGCTAATTGATCAAAATCCTGATTCTTTAAGTCAATCCTATGAAAAACTTGATTTCAAAAAAGAAAAAAAAAAAAAGCCCCAAGTTGACTTCTCTTAGTTAATGCAATGGCCACAACTGCATTTTTACTAGATTAATTGAACTTAAAATGGGTGGGGGTGGCACACTTGTAATCCCAGCCGATCTGGGAGGCTGAGGCAGGAGGATCGAAAATTGGAGGCCAGCCTCAGCAGCTCAGTGAGAGCCTGTTTCAAAAATCAAAAAGAACATTTTTTTTTTAAGGGCTGGGCATGTGGATGGGGATGTAGCTCAGTTGGCTCGCAGGCACAAGGCCTTGGGTTCAATGTCCAGCACCACAAAAAAGCACCCAAAGGTCCAACCTCCAGGACTCAAGCAAACAACAAACAAAAAACCCTCTGCGGGATCAGAAGAGTCATCAAACACAAAAAATGAGCCCGGGGCTTAGGAACCAGGCCCACCCTGAGTTCAAATCCTGGTTTGGCCTTTTTGACTTGTAGGAGACCATGGGTTAGCCAGTCACTCCTTATCTCAGCGGCTCTCTAATAAATATGAACAGATAAACAGTCAAGGACAGAATGGCATGTCTGTCTCTGGCCACCTGCAGCCCTGTGACTTGAAGGAATAATAATAATAATGCCCTCCAGGAGCAGAATATACCTCTAACTGCTTGGGAGGCTGAGGCAGGAGGATCCCAAGTTGGAGGCCAGCCTCAGAAACTCGCAAGGCCCTGAGCAACTCAGTGAGACCCTGTCTCTAAATATAATTTTAAAAAGGGCTGGGGATGGGGCTCAGTCAGTAAGTGCCCCTGGGTTCAATCCCTGGTCTACTGTGTGTAAATTAAATGATTTTTTTAAAACCCAAATAGCCTTTAAAAAAATTTTTTTTTGGTTTTTAGATGGACACAATACCTTTATTTTATTTATTTCATTGTTATGTGGTGCTGAGGCTCGAACCCAGGGCCTCACATGCGCAAGGCAAGCACTCTGCCACTGAGCCACAACCCCAGCTCCTGTATATTACATGTTTTTCTTTTATTTTTATTTTTTGTGGTGCTGGGGATTGAACTCAGGGCCTTGTGCATGTGAGGCAAGCACTCTTCCAACTGACCTACATCCCCAGCCCTTAAATCTTAATAAATGGAGTTAAAAAAAAAAAAAAAATCACAGCCATGCACAGTGGGCACTATAATCCCAGTGACTCAGGAGGCTGAGGCAGGAGGATGGCAAGTTGGAGGCCAGCCTCAGAAACTTTTTGAGGACCTTAGCAAGTCAACGAGACTCTGTCTCTAAATAAAATACAAAAAAAAAAGGGGGGGGGTTTGCTGGGGATGTTGCTCAGTGGTTATACACCCCTGGATTCAACCCCCAGGACCAAAAATTTAAAAAATAAAAATACAATCTCATTGCTACAGGACACCTCAGAAGTCCTTTCTGGATTAGGAAACACACTGGGGACAAGAAAAATGACTTCCTCCTGCTGAGTCAGCAGACCCCAGGCCTCCTGGACCTCAAGGACAGGGTTCCCTTAAATTCAAGGGCTCAGTTTTAATCTGCTCCCTCCACAGGGTGCTGGGCTGGGCTTCAGATTTCTCTGACAACAAAAAAACAAAAAAAAAAAAAGGTAAGTCATTGCCAAAGGCTTTCCCAGTCCAAACAACCAGACTCTGAGAAGTAGCCCTGCCCTGGGGAGAAGATCAAAATGTTTTGAAGTCCCACTATCAGTCCCTAGCTCTGTGCCCAAAGGCAAGCTTGTCCTTTGGGAGATGGTTGGGGACTTAGCTGAGTGGCAGAGTGCTTAGCATGCAGAAGAATTCCAAGGGGAAAAAAAGCAACAATAACAACAATGGAAATGCATAATAATAATAATAATAATAATAATAAAATAATACTGCTCTCCAAGAGCAGAATATACCTATAACTGCTTGGGAGGCTGAGGCAGGAGGATGGCAAGGTGGAGGCCAGCCTCAGCCATTTAGCAAGGCTGTAAAGCAACTCAGCGAGACCCTGTCTCTAAATAAAATATAAAAAGGGCTGGGGATGGGGCTCAGGGGTGAAGCACCCCTAGGTTCAATCTCTGGGACCAAATAAAACAAAACACACAAGTCAACCACAAGCACTAGCTGCTCTTTGTTGATTGGATGTTCCTGGTGACTCAGTGTGGCTGCTGCCATCATCACCGGGTGCAAACTCGGCCCCAGGGGCACACTCCACCCCCAGGCAGCCCTTCGCACCTTGCCCTCTCCAGACTCCAGAGGAGCTGAGGTCACTCAGACCCGGTTGGTTTAACTTTTTCTCCAAGGCAACACCCAGAAATTATCCCAATTTTAACAGAAACAAAGACGTAGTGCTTTAGTATCCTGGCCAAGGACAACGAGGAGCAGGCCTCGAGCACCCAGAGGGGCAGAGTCACCGAGAAACAGGGCTCTGGGGACTCTCATCCACTTCTTGAAAACACAGGTGGGCGCGGTGGCTCACGCCTGTCATCCTTGAGACTGCTTGGGAGGCTGAGGCAGGAGGATCGCCAGGTGGAGGCCAGCCTCAGCCACTTAGCAAGGCCCTGAGCCACTCAGCGAGACCCTGTCTCTAAATAAAATGCAAATAGGGCTGGGGACCGGGCTCAGGGCTTAAGCACCCGTGGGCTCCATCCCAGGGACCTAGAAAAGAAAGGGAGGAGGGGACACAGCCCCTGCCCTGAGGCTGGGAGTTGTCCCATGAACTTGAGATTTTCAGACCAGGCAGGGACCTCTGCACCGATCGCTTGGGGCAGTTGGAGCGCCCTTTCTGAGCAGGATAGCGTCCTGCCCCGTCCTGATCTCCATTGGGGACGCGGACACGGAGGCCAGGACACTCGGATCTCCCTCCTCACGATCCTTTATCAGTCCCCCCCCCTGGCCAGGACACTGGGGCAGCCACATCCTGCCGGTTGGTCTTGGGGCCACTGCCAGAGCCCGGGTCCTCTCCCCCACCTTCCGGTATCTGCGTGCACTTCTCGGTTTCTGTCGCCCTCCCGCGGGGGGTGGGGGTGGGGGGGAGATGGGGGGGAGGGGACCCGGCGCTGGCCCCGCCCGACCCAGGAAAGTTCCACCGCCACCTCCGGGTCCACCAAGAGGCTGCGGAGGGGGCGTGGCCAGGACCCCCCCCCAAAAAAAAACCCAAAAACAATAACAACGACAACTTTGGGCCTCCGGGTCCCCGGAGCCACGACTTCCTGGTCGCTCCCCAGGGGGACCCGCGGGGGGTGTCGCCGATCGGGCCGGGCCGCCCAGCAGATGGGGGGAGGGGGAGGTCCTCGGGCGGTGGACACGGGGGAGGGGTCTGTCCCCAGGCCCCTGTGGGGTGGCCCGATCGGTGCCAGCTGCAGAGCGGGGTGTCGCCCGCCTGTCGCCTGCCACCCGCCAAAGTCGCTCGGGAGCCGGGCTCCTCCTCCCCTCTCACCCCCGGGGCTCTGGGACCCCCGGGCGGGCGCCCACCTTGACCCTCTTGCCCTGGATCTCGAGCGTCTTCATGGTGAAGTCCACGCCGATGGTGCTGCCCTGGCGCTCGGCGAAGGCGCCCGTCTTGAAGCGCTGCACCACGCACGTCTTGCCCACGCTCGCGTCGCCCACCAGGACCAGCTTGAACAGGAAGTCGTACTGCTCGTCGGGGTCCCCGGGGCCCGGGCCCGCCATGGCCGCCCGGCTCGGACGCTGCGGCCCGTCCGGGCTCTCACGCCGCCGGGCGCGCCCCGGGCTCCGCGCGCTCCAGCCCCGCGGGCCGCTAGGGCGACGTGGAGCCGCCGCAACACCTGAACCGGTGGCGCCGCCGGCCTCGGCCCCGCCCCGAACTCCCGCGGCTTCGGGGCCGCCCCGGAGGACTCGCCTCGCCCGGCCCCTCGGCTGGGCTCGCGGCCGCCCTCCGCTCGGCGCTCGGCGAGCCCGCCCCTTCAGGACCGCCCCGGCCACGCCTCCGGACGCGCCTCGGCCCAATGGCTTCGCCCCACCTTCCCATGGCCCCGCCCCGCCAAGACTCCGCCCCCAGCGCCGCTCTTTCCCCTCAGCCGCGCTCCACTCCTAGATCCCCGACTCCGCCCCCTCCCGACTCCGCCCCCAGCGCCGCTCTTTCCCTCAGCAGCGCTCCACTCCCAGCACCTCGACTCCGCCCCCAACACTCCGACTCCGCCCCCAGTGCCGCTCTTTCCCTCAGAAGCGCTCCGCCCCCAACACTCCGAATCCGCCCCCAGCGCCGCTCTTTCCCTCAGAAGCGCTCCACACCCAGCTCCCCAACTCCGCGCCCTTCCGACTCTATCCCCAGCGCCGCTCTTTCGCTCAGCAGCGCTCCGCCCCCAGCACCCTACACCGCCCCCAGCGCCCGCTTTTGCCCCCAGCGGCGCTTAGCACCCGACTCCGCCCCCTTCCGACTCCGCCCCCAGCGCTGCTCTTTGCCCTCAGCAGCGCTCCGCCCGCCCCCTTCCGACTTCGTCCCCAGCGCCGCTCTTTCCCTCAACAGCGCTTCTCCCCCAGCACCCTCCTGACTCCGCCCACAGCATCCCGACCCCGCCCTTGGAACGGCGTCCCGGAAGTCCGCCCGCTCCTCCCCGTAGCCACGTTGGGTCCCGCCCACCAGGAAGGCCCCGCCCACATCCTGCTCGAGGCCTCGCCCCCAGCCCCAGGGGGAGCCCGGGGCCGCCCGGGGGGCCTCCTTCCCCTGCACCCGCCACGCCCTGTCCGCCTGTCCGGAAGGGCAGGGCTGGCCTGGAGACCTGGGATCCCAGAGAAATGTGACCCGAGCATCTGTAAGAAGCCCCCTCAAGGGCTTCCCAGCTGCAAGGGACAGGGACCCAGATCAAGGACACCGCCACCAGCCCAGGACCCCAGGACCCCAGCCCCAGCAGCCTTCCTGGGGGGCGCAGAGCAGGCAAAGGCCAAGCCCAGGGAGGAGGCCGAGGGTTGTTTGTTCTGAGACATTGAAGTCCCCTCCCTGGGGAACCAGCCAATAGGTCCAGACGGAAGACCTATTGTCACTGGAGAGCCATCTGAGGTCCTCACTCGGGGACCTCAGGTGGGAGAGGGGAACTAGAGTTTCAGGAAGTGGCCTCCATTCCAAATAGGAGGCTGAGGGCATGGACGGAAGGTTTTGGCACCTGCTGGGGTGGCCCTGGGAGGTGGGGCACAGCTCCCACCCCAAGTGGAAGATCAGGAGCCAGGAGGAGGGAGGCATGGGTGGCAGAGGAGGGACGGAGGGTGGGCAATGGTTAGCTGGATCCTACCTTGCCCTGACCTAGAATTGTTGGGGGACGGGAAAGGAGCGCCCTGATCTGGGTGTGGTGACACACATCTGTAATCCCTACGGCTGGGGAGGCTGAGGCAGGAGGATCGAAAGTTGGAGGCCAGCCTCAGCAATTTACAGAGACCCTAAGCAACTCAATGAGACCCTGTCTCGAAATAAAATATCAAAAGGGCTGGGGACGGGGCTCAGGGGTTTATATTCTATTTAGAGACAGGGTCTCGCTGAGTTGCTGAGGGCCTTGCTAAGTGGCTGAGGCTGGCCTCCAACTTGCGATCCTCCTGCCTCAGCCTCCTGAGCTGCTGGGATGACAGGTGTGCGCCACCGCACCTGGTTACTCTTAAAGCCATGGGAGGGAGACTGTTCTAGACTCACAGGAAAATTGGGAGGGGTGAGGGAAGAGGAGGAAAAAAGATGGAAATGTGTCTACGGAAAAATTACCTATTTTTGCAACTGTAGGTCGGGCCAAAACTAACATAGAACACCAACAGGATCTTATTAACCAAACCAAAGCTGCCCAGGCTGGTTCTGTCCCCTGAGCAAGGAGTTGGGCCAAGATGACCACATCCGCACCGGTGGTCACACCTACCCAGTCAGCTAGCTGCCCAATGTCCTGAGGCTTGGATAGTAGCCCTTTGGGGACCTTCCTCTGCTCCCAGGGTGACATGTCTCATTGCAGAGGCCTGTTCCACCCCACCTTATCAGGTTCCACCCCAGGCAGCCTGATAAGGACCCGAGGAGGAGATGAGGGGCTTAGTCTACCAAAAGCCTAGAACACTTGGCTTTCAGGATGGGCTTGCTCCAGGCGCACCCTCTTCCCAAGTGTTGAATTCCCTGCTGTCCTCCCCCTAAATGCAGGAAGGAGCACTGTGGCCCAGCTGTGCCCCTTGGGAGACAAACTCCTACCTGGGCCCAGGCTCACCCAGGCCCTGGGCCCAGTCCACCATCCCAGGGGCTCAGACATAGGTCAGCTGGATCTCAGGCCACCTGAAACCTCTGTCTAGACCACAGGGTCGCCAAGACCCCGGGACAAACTTTGAGACAGCCGGAGCACTCCTGGACTTACAGTCGAGGCCCAGAGGGACGCAGCATGCTCACGCCTCAGCCCCCAGCTCCAGCCAAGCCTGGGCTGCTGCTGGGCCCAGAGTCTCTCAGGGCTGCCAAGGCTCCAGCCCTCACCTCCCCCTTCCCTGTTCACAGCTCTAGGGCTGCTCAGTTCCCTGCAGCCCCAGAGCGCCCCCTGCAGGCCGCAGAGTCCCTCAGCAACTCTGGCCTCACAGGTTCCTTCTTGTGGACTCTCATTCCTGTCACTTAGTTGTCACCTCAGGGAACAAACGGCAGGCACAGAGCTTCCTCTTTCTTATAAAAATCTTTAATAAAAATAGTTGTGTGCGGAACAGGTTAGAAAACAGAAGTGACCAGTTCAGTGGTCTTGGTCCCTGGGCGGGACACGGGAAGCAGGCTGGGGTAGTCAGAGCCAGCGCAGGGCCCAGGGGAACAGGGCCATGGGGGAGGCCCATGGGGGAGGGTTCAGGGTCAACCCGGCATCTCATTTTTTAGAAAAAAAATCAACACTTTTTTTTGGTGTGTGTGGTTCCAGGGAATGAACCAGTGACGTTCCACCACTGAGCCACCCCCGTGCTGCTTAGTTTTTATTGGAAGATAGGATCTTGTTACGTGGCTGAGGCGGGCCTCCAACTTGTGGTCCTCCTGCCTCAGCCTCCCAAGCTGCTGGGATCACGGCGTGGGCCACCGTGCTGGCTCCTTTTACACACTTTGGAGCAGCTGGCAAAGCCCTCCCCTGGGGTTAGCCCAGGAGACCAGGAAAGAGATGAAGGATGAGAAGGGAGCAGGGCCTCCTCGCAGCACCACCTGTTGGCACGCAGGGTGGCTGCAGGGGCGCCAGACATCGAGCCCACCTTCCAGACTCCTGGGAGGGCACCAGCCTGGCCTAGTATCCCAGGAGCCTTCTGGCCTCCTCACTCTGGGCCTGCAGGGTCTCGCTGGCGTACTTCTGCAGCAACTCCATCTTCTTCCTTCGCACGAGCGCCTCTTCGATCTGTGGATGTCCAGAGTAGAGGGCTGACTCTTTGTATTTGGGGGGACCAGGGATGGAACCCTGGGGGCCCTCGACCCCTGAGCCCCGTCCCCAGCCCTATCTTGTATTTTGTTTAGAGACAGGGTCTCCCTGAGCTGCTTAGCACCTAAGTTGTGGAGGCTGGCCTCCAATTTGCGATCCTCCTGCCTCAGCCTCCGGAGGCGCTGGGATGACAGGTGGGTGCTGCCAACTGGCCTGACTCTTTATCTAGGGAGCAGGGCCTCGCAGAGGCAGACCCCAGCGAGAAGGGAGTCCCTGTGGGAGACGTCCACAGGAGAGGGGGGACTCAAGGGAGGCTTCTCCCTCCCTTTGGAAACATCTGACTAAAAGAATGTGTTTGAGGCTAAGGCTGCAGGATCTCTGGGTTCCAGGCCCTTCCATGAGCATGACGGGGAGCGCCCTGGAGAGGAAGGACCCCGCAGACCCCCTTGGGGTACTCTGCGGAGCCTGCTCTGGTGACCCAGGGACCCCAGCAGCACCCACTCCGTGCCGCCCGAAGCTCCATCCTACCTCCTGTTGGGATGGCACTGGGACGTGTGCGATGAACTTCTGCTGCCCGTCCTCGCCTGTCCGCTCCTGGCTGCCTTCCTCATCCGACTAGAGACAGCAAGCACAAGACCGTCAGCATGACCCGCCACAGGAAGGTTAGCATCTCAATAAAACGCACAGCAACACAGCTGTGGGCCAACCAACGAGGGAGCCTGGATGCTTACGCCAGACATACTAGACACATGCTGGGGTCGGGACCCAGGGGCGCTTGACCCCTGAGCCCTGTCGCCCTCCTTTTTAATTTTGAACTGGAGACAGGGTCTCACTAAGCAGCTTAGAGATTATGATGTTGCTGAGGCTGGCCTCCAACTTGTGATCCTCCTGCCTCAGCCTCCGCAATACCATTATTTTATTTATTTCTCGGTGGTGCGGAGGATTGAACCCAGGGCCTTGCACGTGCTCGGCAAGCGCTCTACCACTGAGCCACCAACCCAGCCCAATTTTTTTTTTTTTAATTTAAAAATGTCCCTTACAAAGAAAAAAAGATCAACTCAGAGGCTGCCTAGGAGTCAGTCACGAATAACTAAGGAAATAACGGAGACTCGGAAGGGTGGGCACCCAGCCTCTGAGTGGGGAACTGCATTAGTAATGAGTGTGACTCAAACATGGGCTATAGGGAGCACACGCCTGTAATCCCAGGAACTGGGGAGGCCAAGGCTGGAGGATGTCAAGGTGGAGGCCAGCCTCAGCAACTTGGTGAGATTCTGTCTCAAAAGTGAAAGAAAAAAAAATACTTAATTATTTTTTTACTTGTAGACACAAGAGATTCATTTTATTTATTTTATGGGGTGCTGAGGACCGAACCCAGGGCCTCACATGTGCCAGGCGAGTGCTCTACCCGTGAGCCCCAGCCCTTTTTATTTTTAGAATTAAGACGAGGTCTTGGGCTGGGGCTCAGGAGGCTGAGGCAGGAGGATCGCAAGGTGGAGGCCAGCCTCAGCAACTTAGTGAGGCCCTGAGCCACTCAGG